ATAGCCGGATACCCGACCGGGTATTTTGACATACCCGACCGGGTATTTACCAAATCAAATATTTTCCCATGTTTTTGTGTCTTCTGCACGTTCTTTGGTCCGAAATCACTTCATACCCGACCGGGTATATGGAATACCCGACCGGGTATTTGCTAGTTTTGCAGCAGTTTCCTTTGTCACTTCATACCCGGCCGGGTAAAGTCCATACCCGACCGGGTTTTGCATAAAACTCAGGTTTTTCCATCCTTCTTGCTTCCAAACCTATCCTAAACTTATAGCTCAACTAACTACAACTTACAACAAACAATAAAATGCTAAAAATACGATTACAATCAAATGCAAACTAACAACTACAAACTTGCATAATACTAGTGAATAAATATTACAAATGATAATAAAAATGTACACTTTAGGCACTAACAACTAGTGCCTATCACATGCCACGTCAGCTAACTAACTAACTCCCATATCAGATTGCATCTCCATAGCGGCTGGTTTGGAGTCCGAAAATGGGGAAAAGCACAAGCTTGGTCACGAGTTTGAAACCTACTCTGAGGCCTGCGAAAATGGAGTTTGAAACCTGCGCTAATGGAGGAGTGCCTCATGTGGTCGCTGTGCTGGTCGCCGGAGATAGCCCTGCAGCTCTGTTGAGTATGATTGTTTTGTTGATGACTAACCATGCAGGGGGAACGGCGGATAGAACCGCTCACAGTTCCTTGTGGAACAAAGGACAGAACTATCCTCCAGAACAAATGAATATTATTAATGTGTTGATTAACTAACCATGCAGGAGGAACTAATGCAGCTCCACTGATAATTCCGTAATATGATATGGATTGTACCTACTTGATTGTCAATTAATATGTTTTCCTTATATAAGTGATTATACTTTGTCAAAAATATAATTTCAAGCAAAAATATCCCCCTTGACATAATATACGTAACTTGCTTGTATGAGTGCTTATTTGAGTGATTATTCCCCTTCCATACTTGATATAGTTTATTACTTTATGGAAAGTATCCTCACTTGATTACATTTGGTGGTTGACCATAGCACTTACGTATTGCATACTTTGCTAAATATCTCCTTGCCATAAAAGTTATCCTTGATCAACTTAGTAAAGTGAATAATTTAAGTATGGATATTTTCTGGCATGAACCGTCACATGATTATTATGGTAGGTAAAATGTTCCCTTGCTATACGGATTTGAAAAAGTAAAAGTTGTTTGAAATATATTCCATATCTTAATCCGTTGCTTGTTTATAATATTCCTACCTTTTTGAAATTGACCGAAGCCTATCTTATTTGGTAATTAAAAACTTGGATGAGTTGTCTGTACTTTTTCTCTTAGTCCGGGACCGATATGCTACCTTGAATATATGATTAAGATATTCTAATTCGGCTACCTTATATATTGAGCTCGGATATGGGAAATATTATAAAAAGGAAAGCAATTCAAAATATTGAGGCAAGTCCCAAGATTAGAAGATCAACTATACAAGGAAGGATGCTCAAACGGCGTGCCCAAGACAGCCTATATAAACAAAGCAACCGAAGAGAAACAAAGTGTGCTTGACCGAACAATAAAAGAGAGAAACACTTATAAGAGAGTATCAAGACCAAGGCAACTGGACCTGCTTACAGAGTTCTAGATATAGTTTCTTTTCTCGTACTTGTTGTGTAATTGAAGTTTGAGGAAAAGCTTAAGTATAGCTTCCTTTGGTTGGGGCCGTGTGTGTGAGAGCTTTGTTGTAAAGCTGAGTGGCTCTCTACCCGCAAGGTAGAGATGCATAAATCTTCCTAGACGGGATAGAGTTGGGGTGGCTCAAGGGTAGATTAGGAGAATTTACCTTGTAACCACAAAAGGCTTATTAGTGAAGTTGTTGAAAATTCCTCCGAGGGAGGTCGAGGTTATTTAATCCCTTTGAGCCAAGGGATTTTTCCTCGTTAAATCCTTGTGCACTTTACTATTTAGTAATTCCCTGGACCCCACACTAGAACTGTGCGAAAAACTGCCACGGTTCCACACACACACAATTCACCCCCCTCTTGTGGTTCTAACCGTTTCATCAAGCTCTATCTTGGGGTCCACTGAGGCTGATTCTAGTCGCTCGACCTCTGATGACAGCAACCATTGAATTTCCGTTCATAGATTTTCGGCATCCTCTGCACATAACCCCACCGGCGGAACCTTCCAGAAGCCCTCCCATAGTCCTCATAGTCATTGAATCTGCCTTAATCTCGCTATTCTCGCCAAGGCCTCCATCCGGCGTGTAGCTGAGGAAAACCCTCGCTCGCGATTCCCCTCATCCCCCAAGCACCTCACGATTAAATATATGTTATTTGACATAAATTTCAGTTAACATAAAGTTTCATAGGACTAAATAGATGTTAATACTTTCAATTGAACTTGTTATTCAAAATTACAGCCAACATACTCTATTGACTTTACATTCTTTGTATTAATATGTAATTTCACCAGTTAATGTTGTTAGCGAATCCAGACCCGTCATCGTCATTTCAAAGGCAAAGATGCTCATCTAGAAGGCGCTAACACCGAGCTACTTGATGAAGAGTCAAAACCGAATCACCATTCCGTTTTCACAATTGAGGTGCCGGGGTAGGTTTTTGACGGATGAGGAAGAGAGATGGCTCGCAAATCAGGATGGTACCAAAGTGGGATCGCTCGACAATGTGACCTTCATTGATCCTTCACCATCCTATAAAAAATGTGAGGTTAGTCTCCGGAGGTGGAAAGTGAGCAACAATAATGCCCCTCCTATGTGATTACTAAGACATGGAATGGAATTTGGCAACGTCTTAACTTGGAGGTTGGCAACTTTGTTCAAGTTTGGGCCATTCGTGTTGGTGGAGAGTTGTTGTTGGGTCTTGTATTGCTCCCCAAATAATGACCACCTAATACTACGTAATTGAGTATTCTGCATAATGGTTCTCACACCATTCTTTGGTTTTTATACGTTGTAAATCATATATGTATACTTAATGCTTTTGATTTTGAAGCATATGTTAAAATGTGGGTACATATATTTAATCCCCAAGTAGATCTGTCTACTCTACAACAAGTGGTTCAAACCTTAAGTGATTAGTTATAACATATCATTAAATTTGAGATTCTATCATTGATGCATGTTAAATTGTTAATGTGTGTATAGACACGCAAACAAAATATTACTTATCATATTTATGCAAATACATTGATAAAAATATAACTTCTATATTTCCGATTAGTCCCCGCATGGACACTGATCTAACGCCCTACTAGCGTGGTAGCGCCTAATGCCTCTTAACACATTGGAAATATGTCATTCATACATAATAAGTATAGAGTTTAAACAAAAACATGTTGGTCATTTTCATAATGGTTAAATCAATTTAGGAATGGAGAATGGAAAATATTTAAAAGATGATTAAATAGAAATAATTTTGCTCATAGTAGTAACCATGGCAGATAACATCCTCTAGAACTAGATCAAGCATATTTTGGCAGCCGCCATGGGAAATGAGAATCAATCACGTGCATTCAATTTTTTATCTTTTTATCTAATAACTCAAAATAAACTAATAATATATGCACTGGGTTCAATAAAAAATGTGGTATCAACTTCGTAAATAAATTAAAGTTTTTTGTTATCGCAAAAAATGAAATTGGAACATGTAATAGAGCATCATATTGAGCAAAGAGTGCATCAGTTCGCACTTTTCACAAGATCGAAGCACCTTTTTTTATTGTAACTAGACTTTATGTATATATAGGGGGTTTCTAGAAAACTTATTTTTAAATGAGAATTTCTTATAACGATAACTTTTAATCACAATCATTTATGTTATTCAATTATTGATTGGGATGCATATGGGGTCCTTGTTTAATTATTTGAAATTCAAATGGATTCTTTTTGTAATTAACATAAATTTACTACAAAAATGTCACCTTGTTGACACCTTTGAATCCATCATATCTCAAATCCAATGCATGGGAAATTTTCTCAATTTTTACATTAAAACTTCTTTTTGTTTGATCTATAATATACACACACACATGTATATATAATCTGAATTACCTAGATCTATTACATTTGCTTTGTGTGTTGATGCTTTCCGTTATTAACTCCTTTAGACCTTTTTAATTCTAATGTCTCGAATAGGTTTCTCCTCCGAAATAATGACATAAATAATAAAATAATTACAAATATATGATTAAAATAAATGTTGTTTACAAAAATATGTCCTCCTAAGTGTAGAGAGTACAACAATAACTTTGGTCAAGTAACTTATGTTCAATTTTTATACTTCAGGGTCAATGGGACAATAATTAACATGGTAACTATAAGTCATATTTTTGTAAATGAGTTTTATTTCAGTAATATTTTTGGAAAAAATCTCATAATAGAACGATAAAATTATCAATGGACAAAAAACAACACTAATTTTATATTTGAACAAAAAAGAGAACGATTGATTAGTAAATGACTGTAAATGCCCTTAATACTACCCTCTTCCTTCCTCATCATCCTTCTCAAAGTTCCAGCACACCAGCACCACTAACACATCGTTCAACCGCCGCAACCACCGATCAGACTTCTCTTTCTTCTAGTGCTCAATCATGAGATGCGACCACTGATATTTCTTCATGTATATTTTATTTTTAGTGCTTAGATTCTTTGTTGACAAATAATTTTCATGGCTTTCCTTTCATTAGTAAATCTCAATCCAGTCTCGGTCACCCAAAGTAGAGGTAATTTTTCTTTCGAATTCATTAACCAGATATCGAGCAAGTGAGTATTCCCCATTCATCATAGTAGCCTAAAAGAAATCCCTAAGAGATCTGGGGATTTGCTCAGAACCTTTACTAATAAAAATAACTTTAGAGGACTTTCCATAAGAATAGAATACTCAATATAAAAAATAGGAAGTAATCCTAAGAGCCTGAAAAGAAGTTGAGAGGGTCTCTCTCTAGCCTCAAGCTATTCTTCTTCGTCGGGTCGGCATCACGACCCGCGGTGGCCGCCGACGCCAGGGCTCTCCGGGCTCCAGCGGGCCTCTTGAGCTATGGTGAATTTCTGGAAACCACTCTGGTGGTCTTGTGGGGGAAAGTTTGTGGGTTCTATGGAGCTCCATTTCAGTTTTTTGGCTGTAACCCTCTGTGGCCTGGTTCTGTCTGCGGAAATCACGCCGGAAGCTGCACACTCTCTCAAGAACGACCGCTAGTAACTTCGGGCGTCAGTTGGGGGGCTGGGACGGAGAAGAACGGGTTGCAATTGACAGACTGGGTGGATGATGGCTGGAATACAATGATTGACATGGGCTTGGTGGTCTCGGCTGAAGGTGTAAGGAGCTCTGGTTTTGCTTGCGTTCTCTCAGTCCCCTGGATTGGAGGTCCTTGACCGTAGAACAGGGATGAAACTGATCCTTAGCTATTGGCAGACTCATCTTGATGGGGTCCAGTGGTCCTCTGCTGGTTTGTGCTTCAGATGCTGACCGACGTGCTCCGCCTTCTTTCTTCCCCTTCTTATTCACCACCCTGGTGAAAACTCTCCAGTGGGTGCAGGTTTGTCGTCCTTGGACACGACGCCAGAAAGGTTGGGGTATCTATTTGCTTGTGTGACGGGTGGTGTGGGATACCAGTCAACAGCCTTATAGACTCCCAGGATAACTAGGGCCTGCTTGCTCTCTTTCCTGCACTTCAGAGCTTGCAGATGGTTATCTTCAGGGGTGGTGGTGTCTTTTGTGGCAGCGCCGGGTGAGGGGGTCCTGGTGCAGTCCGTCATGCAGCCACCACCTCCTACCTGCTTCATTACGGTTCCTTGGCTGGGCCAAGGCCTTGGTTCTGGAGTTTGCAGTCACCGGCGGTCTTCATCTGAAAACAGGATAAACTCCGGTAAGTACTCCGTTCGTTAACTCGTCTAGATTAGGATGCTTTTTCTTTGGGCTTTGCTCTACTCTCTTGGTGCTTCGTGTCTGGGTTTCCTTTGGCCTTGAGGGGTAGGACTTGTGACTCGTTCTTAACTGCTTGGTATTTGTTATATTTGTAATCCTAATTCTAGTTATATTATACATCATGTTTCAATTGGACCATTAAAATAGGTCTGGCCCGTTTCAGTCTTATCCTCCTTGATTTGGGCCTGATGTTTTCCTTGGTCAGTTCGGTTCTCCTTATTTGACCCAGCTCTTTCTCTCGCATATAAAGTGTCTCCTTCCTTCCTTCTAGAGACATCTTTTGCGTCATTCTTCTAAACCCCAATATAGAGAGAGAGCTTGTGAAGTTTTAACATCTGGTTTTCTTCTTCGTGATCTGGGATACACTTGAGTCCAGAATAAGCTGAGAAAGGCAAGAAGTAAACCGTGTGGTGAAGCGTAGATCCAGAGTAGTTGATTCGAGTCCAAGAATCTGATAACTCCTGGGTTTTGATAGTTTCGTCCGGTTATTTCTGTTCCTTTTCTTATTTTATTCGTATGCTTGTTTTTGGCTGATTCTTGTGTGTTAGATCTGTTATTTTCGTTCCTTTCTTTGCAACCATCTGTGTATTCAAACTATTCTGAGCTAGTGGATTCTTGGGACCGGGTTTCCCCTGTTGAAACCCCGCAGAGTAGGATTTATCTGAACTACGTCAACATATCGTGTGTTCATTTCTATAATTTCTGTTTTGGTTAAACTTGATATTTGAATCCGGTATTTTGACTGTGACTATCGATATAGTCTGTGAACGATTGGTATCAGAGCCTTTACATTAGATTCTTGAAACCCTAATCTAAATTTCTGATTTGATTGAGTTTTCAAGAAATCCTAATTTTTGGTTTACTGTTTTTCGATCCTAAAACCCTAGCTCAAAACTGTTCGAATCTTGATTGTTTTTCTTTTGGTTCTTGTCTGAGTGCCTTATGTTGCTCTTATTGGTTTGTATCTTGATCTTAACCTGCAAATATGTCTGACACTGGTATCAAGATTCGTATCTTTGATGGTACCAGTGACTTTCCCATGTGGCAGCTTAAGATGAAAGCTCTCCTGATGAAGCAGAAATACTTTGGAGTTGTCTCTTCTGATACTGTTCCCAATGTGTCTACTTCTGATCTAACTGAACTAAAAAATGCTGCATATTGTGAATTGATTATTCATCTGTCTGACAATGTGGCTAGAAAATTTTCCACAATCACTGACCCTAAAGTGTTATGGGATACCCTTGAGTCCACTTATATGAAAAAATCTATGTCTAGAAAGATCTCTCTGCTCTGTAGGCTGTTTACCTTCAAAATGAATGTTTTTGTGTCTTTGTCTGAGAATTTGGATAATTTTCTGAAATTGACTCAAGAAATTGAAAAGGTAGATGAAATGATAAAAGACACCCATCAAGATGTTATTCTATTAAATTCTTTACCTTCACAGTTTGATAACTTTAAGGATGTCATCCAGTATTCTAATGAGGATCTCACCCCTGGTAAGATCACTGATGCTATACTTGAGAAGAATGAATCCCTTAAAGTTTCTAAGTCTAAATCTGATCCCTCTAATACTGAGAAAACTGAGCCCAAAAATGAAGCTCTTGTAATTAAAGGGAAACCAAAGAATAAAAAGAACGGTTCTAAGAAGAACAATAAAATTGATAAAGATAATTCTGAAAAGAAAACCTTCAAATGTCAATACTGTGGCATAGAAGGACATTTTGCAAGAGACTGTAGGAAAAAGAAAAGGGATAAACAAGGTGATAACAAGAATAATCCTAACCGTACTCCTAACACAGAATCTGCAAATGTTTTTCAACATGAATTGCTTGATTGTTCTGGATCTTCTTTGAATGATGAATGGATTTTAGACTCTAGGTGTACATTACATGCCACTCCTGACAAGGCCTACTTTTCCTCCCTGACTCTTTATGATGGGGGAAAGGTCATGTTAGGAGACAATACTGCCCTAGATATCAAAGGTGTGGGTAATGTTCCGCTGAGGATGTTTGATGGGGTTGTAAGGGTTATCCAAAATGTTAGATGGGTTCCCTTCTTAAGAAGGAATCTTCTATCTGAATCTGTTTTTGATGATCTGGGTTGCACTATTAATACACAGGATGGATATAAGGTTGTTTCCAGAAATGGAAATGACTTTATTAAAGCTAATAAAAGTGGGGGACTTTACTTAGTTAATTGCTCCCTTGAACTTAACTTAGCTGCTTCTGTTGATAATAGCACAACTCAAAAGCAAACTGAAATTTGGCATAACAAATTGGGTCATATTGGGAATGTGGGTTTGAATGAGCTGTTTAAAACTGGATTTTTAGACTTTAAACCTGAAAACCTTATTTTTTGTGAAAACTGTGTTTTTGGTAAGAAAACTAGGCATCCTTTTGAACAATCATCTTATGTTGCTTCTGCTCCCTTAGAATTGGTTCATTCTGATTTATGGGGATCCTCTAAAGTGAGCACAACTGGAGGTAGGAAATACTTTCTATCTCTAGCTGATCACTTTTCCAGGAAGGTGTGTGTTTTCTTATTAAAAACTAAGGATGAAACCTTTGAGAATTTTAAAAACTGGAAAATATTGGTTGAGTCTCAATCCAATTTTAAACTGAAAGCTTTGAAAACTGATAATGGCCTTGAGTTCTGTAACAATGAATTCAATGTTTTTTTTGCAAAAATGAAGGGGTTAAAAGGTTACTTACTGTCCCTGGTACTCCTCAGCAGAATGGCACTGCTGAAAGGATGAACAGAACCCTGCTTGAAAAGGCAAGGTGTATGCTCATCAGTTCAGGCCTTGGTAATTCCCTGTGGGGGTGAAGCAATGGTTACTGCTTCATACCTAATTAACAGATCCCCATCTTCTGTGATCAGTTTTAAAACTCCACAGGAAATGTGGTCTGGAGTTAAACCAAACATTTCTCATTTAAGGCCTTTTGGGTGTGCAGCCTATGCCCATGTTTCCCAAGGTAAATTACAACCTAGAGCCTTAAAATGTGTAATGTTAGGTTATCCTGAGGGAGTTAAAGGTTATAAGCTACTGGTTTTACAATCAGGGGCTTATAAGTGTATTGTATCCAGAGATGTTACTTTCAATGAATGTGATTTTCCTTTAAAAAGAACTGATACAGTCTTGAGTAAGACTGCAGGTGTATCTGATGGAAATTTCTTTGAATCTTTGGATGATGATGACTCTTTGTACAAAGAGGACCATAGTGGAATATTCCACAATGCAGCAAATGATTATTCAGACTCTGAAACAGACCAACAAGATGACCTCAATGGAGGTGAACAGGTAGTAGTGAGCTCAGACTCACAAGGTAGTCTTTCTGGTTCTCATACTCCTTGTGTGCATGATCTGACTGACACTACTGTTACAAATAATGTGCCTGATAATAATGATGACACTGATGATCATAATGCACCTAATTTAGATGATTATCAACTGGTTAGAGACACAGAACCTAGAACTGACTTTCCCTCAAGTCAGACTATTATAAAATTCCGGAAAGGTGTGCTGAATAAAATCAACCCACTCCCGTGTTTCACTTTCCGGTTCCTGGCCTTCCCACTGAATCAACCACTTCACTCTTGCCTCATCTCCACTTCAAAAATAATTGACTGTTCGTGGATTTTTAGGTTAAAAGATAGTCTTGACCCTACTGAACCTCCTAAGTTTAAAGCCAGGCTTGTAGCCAAAGGTTTTAGACAGAAGGAAGGAATTGATTATCAAGATATTTTTGCACCTGTTATAAAATTCAAAACTCTGAGATTAATGTTGGCTATAACCACTGTTTTTGACTGGGAGTTGGAGCAAATGGATGTTAAAACTGCTTTTTTGCATGGAGACTTAAAATAAACTATTTTTATGTCTCAACCTCGTGGCTTTATTAATAAAGAGTTTCCTGAGCATGTTTGTCTTCTTAAAAAATCTATCTATGGACTTAAATAGTCTCCCAGACAATGGAATTTGAAGTTTGATTCCTGCATGAGTGAACTTGGTTTTTTAAGGAGTAAATATGATACTTGTCTGTATTATAAACATGTTGGAACTGAAAATGCTGTTTATATCCTGTGGTATGTTGATGATATTCTCTTAATTGGTCCTTGTAAAATGCTGATTGTTAGTGTTAAGGATGATCTGAAATTGCATTTTGACATGAAGGATATTGGCTCTGCTAAGAGAATTTTGGGTATTGACATTACTAGGGATAGATCCAATAGGAGCATGTTTTGGTCACAGGGTGATTATTTGACTAAAATCTTGGATAGGTTTAATATGAATGACTCTAAATCAACCCCCTTACCCTTAGGAGGGCATTTAGAACTTTCTAGAGATCCCTATCCTATGACTTTAGAAAAATCTGAGAAAATGGCTAAGATCCCCTATGATGTTGCTTCTGGTTCTCTCATGTATGCCATGCTTTGTACTAGGCCTGATCTTGCTTTTGCTGTTAGCATACTTAGCAGATTTATGTCTGATCCTAGGACCAAACATTGGACTGCTATGAAATATACTCTAAGATATTTGTCTGGTACTAAGAACCTAGGTCTGAAATACTCTAATGCTGATTTGTATGATCTGAAAGGTTTTGTTGATTCTGATTATGCTAGATGTAAAGACTCAAGAAAGTCTACTACTTCTTGTTCTTTACTTCGGCTGGTAACTGTATATCTTGGAAATCTCAATTGCAATATGTAGTGGCTTTGTCTACTACAGAGGTTGAGTATATTGCAGCCACTGAGACTTGATGGAGTATATGGCCCGGGAACCCCCGGCCCACAAACTCCTACTACTCCAATGAAGGCCCAATAGGCCCAGGAAGCACAACAGGCCCAAATCACGGCGCTCAAGGCACTAAGCAACCCCCGTCCTCTAATTCTCACAGGACGGCCAAGACAGGAAAACAAAGTTACTGGGAAAAACGGCGAAAATCAGTAGCCCTCGGCAACTGGAGCCCTCGGCACTAAGGGGGTCATCGATACTCAGAGCCCTCGGCTAGTCATCTACTACCAAGGGTGCCTTTTCCGACATAATATCCGCTCCACATGCGTATGGATCACCGTACCCTGTACAACGTCCCATCCAACAGCCGCATTAAATGCGGCCACATGCGGTTGCCAGCGCCAACCAGTTGAGGTGACCTCTCGGCCAATGGACGCTTGACACGTGTCCCTGTCTGGCATTTATTGCTACTATAAATAGCACCTCATTTCCTCGTTATAAACCACGCTGAAAACACTGAACACTTTCTAATATACTTTCTCTCTCTATACTTACTTGCTCTGACTTCTCTCTAGTTATTCTCCGTAATAACCCCTCGGATAAGCTACCCCCGGGTACACTATCCATCATTTGGTGCTCTCATTGAGAGGTCGAACAATCAAGTAAGAAACCCTCCCCCTCGACCAAACACAAAAACACCCATCTAAAATGGTGAGAACAACTCGTGCCAACTCCAAGAATGTAGAGGACAGGAACCTGGCCCTCGGCGAGGTCGACGTCCCCGAAGCCTCCAACAGGGCTCCCGGGGGCGGCGTCATCGCCGGGTTGGACCAGACGGCTGTCGACCTACGCCAGCAGATTCAACAAAATGCCCCAGATGCCCGCCTCGGCATCGAGGCCAAGAAAAAGGACCGGAGCGAGAATCAGATTAGCCCTCCGGTCATCACAATTGACGTGCAATCGGCGCTCTCCGCCTTCATCCAGACGCTCACCCAGAACCCGGGTGCCTTCGGCACTTTGGTTCCCCTCCAACCTCAGGTGGGGGAGAATATTATGCCTCCCCCTCATCCACGACCCCTCGGTAACCCGGTCCTCCGGATGGGGAACTTCGAGGGGGTCGTGGCCCAAGACACGGCCTCCCAGGAAGTCCAGTCCCGGGACCGCCACAACGTGAACAAGGAACAGCTCCGGACCTTCGCCCTCGAGAGACTCGGAGGGGCGCAAGACCGCCGAGGGGTCCAAGACCGCCTCGGGGGGAAGGCGTTCCAAAGGCCTCAGAAAAGTGGTGGGTCCGTCTCCAGGGCCAATGAAAGGCGTCCCCCTCAGGACAAGGGCAAGGCACCTCTCCATGCCGACGACGCATGCCACCAAATCAATCAGGCCCACTCGGCCCGGGTCCATTCGCAGGGGGCGGAGGCCCTCCCGAAGGACCCCCGGGACGAAATCATTGCGGCCCTCCAGCGCCGGCTTGACGAGATGGAGGCCACCAAAGCCCACGCCGCCGCTTCTGCCCCTCATACAGACCTCAAGTATGAGGCGATGATGGCCAAGATGGAAGAAATGCAGAAGAAGATAGCCGAGGGCTCCGGGGAACCCACCATACAGCTCCGGACCCGGACGCCATTTACCCCAAGGGTATTGGCGGCCCAGATCCCGGAAAAATACCGAGGGCAGCTCATCAAGCCCTATGACGGAAAGACTGACCCCCAAGAGCACTACAGCAGGTATCAAAACAGCATGATGATGGTGGGGGCATCAGATGAATATTTGTGCCGCTGGTTCCTCTCCACCCTAGAGGGGCCAGCTTACGAATGGTTCAATCGATTGCCCGAGGGCTGCATTGACTCATGGGAAAAACTCGCCCAGCGATTCTTGATGCAATTTGCGGGGAGGCGCCGCACAAGAAAACACTTCTCCCACTTATTAACAGTAAGGCAGAAGAAGGAGGAGACCCTTCGGGACTTCCTGGAGCGCTGGAGGACGGAGGCTGATAAAGTTGATGGCGCTGACGACAGGACCCTCCTGGCCCTCCTACAAACAGTACTCCGCCCCGGGAACTTCTCAATGAGCCTCATCATCGAACCCCCCCCCCCCCCCCCCCCGCGATTATATAAGGGCCCTACAGCGGGGGGACCGGTACGCCGAGGCCGAGGAGGTGGAGAAATGCCACCATGTCCCAGATCAGCAACGCCCTCGGCCAGACGACAAAGGTAACCGGGGGCCGGGGGCTCCCCGCAATCATCCCAAGGATTCTGCCCCCTCCGGTGATCGCCCCCGGCATGGCCAAGCCAAGCCCGGGGGAGGCTACAAGGGGAACCCGAGGGCTTGGGCACAGCCTGTCCTCCTGGAGCACCCTCGGACACCATTGACGCACCCCGTCAGCGTTATTCTTGATTTTGCTGAGGAGAGGGGCCTGGTGGAGCGAGATTCACGCGCACCCCCGAAGGTATTCGCCATCAATCCCAACTACCCCTACTGTCGTTTCCACCGGCACCAGGGGCACAGGACCGATGACTGTCATCAGCTGAAGACGGCCATCGAAAAGTTGATACAAGTGGGCCATCTGTCCCAGTTTATCTAGGGCCCTCAGCAACAGGGCCCCCCACAGCAGGGGCCACCCCGAAGGCAGACTGCGAGAGCAAACTCATGGGTCAACCCCAACACCATCCCCCTCAGCAAAAAGAGGGAGATTGGGAACTTGGAAGAAGAGGAGGAGGAGTACCCCCGGTATCAAGAAAAGAAACGTCACATCCTCATGATCAGAGGGGGAAATACCGGGGGTGATTCTACGAGTCAACGAAAGAAGTGGGCTCAATCACTTTACGTGGGGGAAGTCACTCACATGCCCCCAGTAAAGCGGCTGAGGGAGGAACCCATTATCTTCACTAACGCTGATCTCCCTCCAGTATCCTCCCCACACAGGGATGCCCTCGTCATCCGCACAGAGATCAACGACACTATTATTCACAGAACTTACATTGACACGGGCAGCTCCGTCAATGTAATGTACCTCAGCACCTTCAGAGAGCTGCATCTGGAGAGGGGGTCCCTTCGGCCCATCAAGACCCCTCTTGCCGGCTTCACCGGCGACACCATTGATTCCGAGGGCGTCATAACCCTCCGGGTAATCTTCGGCGACGGCCTCCATAGAGTCAAGCTCGAAGTGGAGTTCATCGTCGTCAACATCGACTGCGCCCACAACATCATCCTCGGCCGGCCAGCCCTCGAGGACCTCGAAGCCGTCATCTCCATGAGGCACCTCTGCCTCAAGTTCCCAGACGAGGGGGGAATCGGTTACTCAAGGGGGAACCAAAAGCTTGCCTGCGCTTGCTACCTTCAAGTTACAAAGAAGGTTAGCAAGACGGAGTTCCGCGTTGACACCATCACCGGAACTGTGGAAGCGGAAGAAAGGAGGCCGAGGGCTGAACCAGCTGAGGAGGTAGAAGACTTCGCGCTCGATCCGGCCAAGCCGAAGAGAGTCGTGAAGATTGGAGCCAAGCTCCCCGAAGATTTGAAGACCGGCATCATCAGCGCCCTCCGCGCCTACTCCATTGTTTTTGCATGGGGGCCGGAGGACATGCCGGGGATCAGCCG